CAAGGGAACTGTCACTTCCCCAGTGCATCCCCATGTCCCAGGGCATTGTCACCCCCTAGGGCAATGCCATGATCTGAGGCATTCCCCAAGCATTGGCACCTCCCAGGGCATCATACCATGTCCTTCACCATTGTCCACCTCCCAGGGCATTGTCACCCTCCAGAGCAATGCCATGTCCCTGGGTATTATCAACCCTCAGTTCACCCCCATGTCCCTGAGCATTGTCACCTCCCAGGGCACTGTCACCTCCCAGGGCAATGCCATGTCCCTGAGTATTGTCACCCCCACATCCCTGCACATCATCACCTCCCACAACTTCAGGCAATGCCACATCCCCAGGGTGTCACCACCCCAACTCCAGGAGGGGCTGACCCCCACCAGGCTGGGCAGGGGAACCCCCAGACCCTGGGATTTTGGGGTTTTACCTTCCCGGACTTTGGGGTTTTACCTTCCCGGACTTTACCTTCCTGGATTTTGGGGTTTTACCTCCCCGGACTTTGGGGTTTTACCTCCCCGGACTTTGGGGTTTTACCTCCCCGGACTTTGGGGTTTTACCTTCCTGAATTTTACCTTCCTGGATTTTGGGGTTTTACCTCCCCGGACCTTGGGGTTTTACCTTCCTGAATTTTACCTTCCTGGATTTTGGGGTTTTACCTTCCTGGATTTTGGGGTTTTACCTCCCTGAATTTTACCTTCCTGGATTTTGGGGTTTTATCTCCCTGGATTTTGGGGTTTTACCTCCCCGGATTTTACCTCCCTGGATTTTGGGGTTTTACCTTCCTGGATTTTGGGGTTTTATCTCCCCGGATTTTGGGGTTTTACCTTCCTGAATTTTACCTCCCCGGATTTTGGGGTTTTACCTCCCCGGACTTTGGGGTTTTACCTTCCCGAATTTTACCTTCCTGGATTTTGGGGTTTTACCTTCCCGGATTTTACCTCCCTGGATTTTGGGGTTTTACCTTTCCGGATTTTGGGGTTTTACCTCCCCGGATTTTGGGGTTTTACCTCCCTGGATTTTGGGGTTTTACCTCCCTGGATTCTGGGGTTTTACCTTCTCCCTGCGGGCCAGCGTGGGGTGCACGAAGCGGCGGTAGAGCAGGCTGGCCCCCCGCGTGTACGGGGACAGCAGCCAGATGATAAAAGCCATCTTCACCTCGTAGTAGAAGGGGAGCCTGGGCGAGAAGGCAGGAGATGGGGGGTCCAAAGGCACCTCATGGTCCCCCCACACATCTAGGGGGGGGTTTGGGGACAGGCAGAGTCCCTCCCCAGGCTCACCAGGAGATGAGGACGTCGGTGAAGGTCTCTGCGGTCATGAAGAAAGCGAAGACGATCCAGTACATCATCCATCGGACCTGGGGAGCCACGGGGAGCAAATCAGGGAGGCTGGGGGCTGGAAAAAGGGGGCTGGAGCCCAGAAAGGGGCACTGGAGATTGGGAAAAGGGGGGAAGGGGGGCTGAACCCCAGAAAAGGGGACTGGAGGCTGGGAAAAGAAGACTAGAGCTCAGGCAAAAGGGGGGACTGGAGCCTAGAAATATGGGGGCACCGGAGCCTGGAAAGGGGGGACTTGGGTCTGGGGAAAGAGGGGGACTG